ATCAAAACGAAAACAAGAGACGCGCGGATCTTTTCCAGAAGACTCTTCATTAGGGCGTTGGTCCTGAAGCATACGATTTGTCGACTGCCTGGAAACGATCCACGTTCTAGAGTCAACATCCAGCGCGAAAAGGCAACATCCCTTGGTAATCGGAAACTGGGCTATCACACCTCATGCCAGTGGAGCCAAGTATGCATCGCACCAAGCCTGTAAAACAAGACGTCGCTCGAACGGAGGGGCCCTGTCGTTGGCCGACGGCATGATCACGCCGCCGGGTGCGCATGTCATGACAGACGGCACCGGCACCCCAGCAAGTCACAGTGCTGAGATCGAAGATGCAGTCTGGCGGTCCTGAGGCGGCCTCTGCGAGTCACGGCGCCTGTGGCGCTTGTCGCGCGGGCCCCTCCGAAGGAGAGAGAGGAACGACGCGCGCAGGATTCCTGTGCCATCGGATGTGCCGGAGCCGATGGAGTCAGCACAGAGTCGAGGGGAGACGATTCCAGACGTCGAAAGAGCGTCTTGCCGCAGCTTCACTCTACCAGGAACCCGTGGGCCACATCGGGAGGTCGTCCCTGAAGCGGGTGCGGTCGGCGACAGCTCGAGGTCAAGCGCCTTGCACCCAAGGAGACTGAGGATTGATGAATTATACGTTGAAGACCCTGCCGGGTCCAAGTGGCAAAGACCTCTGCCGTCACAGAGTTCCACAACCGAAATGGTCGAGGTGGACGACGATGATGTGGCGCCCTGCGGAAATCCACAGACAGGGCAATGGTCAGGGCGCTTTTGCCGCCAATTCCACGTCACCGCTGGTCAACTCAGCTCGTGGCGGGTAGACCAAACGACGACAGGAGATGTGTCATGGGTGAATCGCGGGGGCTTGGGCAGGATCCGACGACTACCCCAGTGTGGTCTCGAAGTGAGACAGGGATGTGTCGCGCACCGCGCGGGAAAGCTCGGTGAAGGAGCAGAGGTCGAGGAGCCGCCCGTTTCACACCAGAGGCCACTCCTGAAGCGGGCTCCTCATATTCTCAGGCAGGGACACCGAAGAGAACGCGTTCCTCTCGTCACACCGTGCCATGTGTATCTCCGTGCCCGGCGCTCGCACCATCGCCAGCGCACCTCCTCCTCCGAGGCCGTGCTCGCCTCGACGTCGTGCATCACTCCAGAGAAAGTTGGTCGGTACTGCCATGATAAGTTTTCCCAACTTATAACGCAATGCAGGTTGCCGGTGCCTCGGAAAGTCAGGCGATTGCAACCGACCGCCGTGCGAATGGTGCCCCAGGGCCCGCATGCAGTGCAATGTCCAATATCAGCGCGACAAGCGCATAGCAGAAGTGACGCAATTATTCTGCCGCGAGGAACGCTGGATCTGAAGCCACTAGGTTGCAGGGGCGGTTTGAGGGTCAGGTCCGCCAGGTGCAGTTCAGGTGCGGAAGAGTGCCAGGCCAAGGTCGAGCTTAATGTGGCCGACCATCGAGCGAAGGCTATCGCTGCTGAGGAGACGGGAGGTCGATTGAATCAAGGACGCCTACTGAAGGGCGCGGTGGGCGGAGCGTTGGCGGATCGGATGAAAGGAGGCCGACGAAGTCTTTCGAGTGGTTGAGACTGAGACTGCTGTCGCCGGGCGCCGCGAGGCAGGAATGGCAGGGGCAATTGGGGGCGCGCGAGCTCGAGCATGAGGTGGAACGCGATATCAGGGCACAGCTCGGTGATTTACTCGCCGAGCAGGAGAAGATTGCTTCCCGGGGGATTCTCGGTCGTCCCCAGTCGAGTGCTAACATTTCTGGACAGGCGTCCGCTACGGCAGCCATGGCGATAGCAGCGGTGCCGAGGGCTGCCCCGACAGGCGGCGGAACCGCTGCCGTGGGGCCGCAAGGCCAGCCGGTTGAAACTACGCAACTGGATGTGATATTCTGACCGCCGCGCGTCGCGTCGCAGGGCGCGCCGGGAAGGGCGCTGCGACGTGGGGGCCGCTCCCCAGGTGGATCGCCGCCTCCGTCATCCCTCCCGCGTCCGCCATCAGGGCCGCTGATCGGGCCGCCGCCGCGGGCGGTTCTGGCCGGCGGTTCTGGCCCCCGGACATCTTCGTCGCCGCCAGTCACGGATAAGTGGATTTCAAGTGGGCCATCCTGATCCAGATCCTCGAATCTCACCAGCAGGCGGGAGGGCGCCCAGGTCAACTTGCTCCGCAGCAGCCCCAGTCTTGGCTCCGAGCGTCCCCGCCTCGTTTTCGAAGGATTCGAATTCGGCGAACATCATGTCCAACCATTACTCGGCCCGGCGAATGGCTCGCCCCCCCGTTTCGTTTCCCTTCAAGCTCTGTGACCTCTTCTTTGTCCCTTCCAGCCCTCGCTCCTGCTTTGCGAACTGCGTCGGCCGTCGCCCTCTTTCTGCACCTGTTAGGCCTTCCTCATCGACAGAAGAATTCCCCCCCGCCCCCCAACTCGACCCCCCAGGCAAGATTCGCACCGCTCTTCCAATTCAGCAGCGGCACGCGCCTCCTGCTCGGACCCCCCCTCGCTCTTCGCGCCCGGACGGACTCTGCTTCCTCGCGGGCACCGTTGTAGGCCCCGCGCGATTGCTCGACCACGCGGATAGCGCTCGGCTCGCACCTAGGGCCAGTGGATCTCCTCGTAGTGCCGTGGCAATATCGAAAACTGGAACCTTGGGCCAGGCGGTCCGGGAGGTCCTGCGGGTGGCCCCGGAGGCCCTCCAGGCGGTGGAGGGCGCGGCGGTGGTGGATTTGGCGGCCCACCAGGGCGTTGGGGGGGGCCGCCGGGCGGAGGTGGGCCATCAGGTGGTGTGCTAGGACTTGGTGCTGCGCCCGTAGGAGACGGATGGGGCTGCCCGGGCAAAGCGATGGCGGGCGGGGGCAATTCGACCGGTGATTCCAGGTGAAGCAAGTGTGCCCGATTGGACAGGAACGGTTCGTCGCGCTGTTACGGCCGCAGAGTCCAATCCCGACTGTGGCCTGCAGTGGTATCAGGAAACGCTGGGGAATGATGCCTCAAGGGGGGGTGCTGATGACCCCGGGCAATTTTTCACAGCTCCATTATGCAATTGCAGCAGATCTGCTCGTTAAGGGGCAGCGCGTGTCTGAGCCGAAGACGCTGCGTGACAACATGCGCTAGCTACGGTCAAGCGCAGTGAGTAGCGCTGTCAGTTCGCAGAAAATGGACGGCGTGCCACATCTCAGGGCGCTAAGAAATCCGAGGAATTTGCCCACCCAGAAAGATAATGTGCCCCCCCTGGAACCCTGAGCTATGCAGACTGGTTGTCCCCGACACAATCTTTCCACATGTCAATCCCAAGTTTATTTTCGATGGGAACCTGGAGGAACCAGAGACTGTCGAAAACGCCGGTCTGGGTAGAAAGCGGGCCGATCGGCCTGACATGTTGAGTTTTGGGCTAAACTTTTTTTTGCCGCAATCGTGCATCGGTCGAACAAGCGTTCGCTCCCTTAAATGCAGAAGATTGAGGTGGGTTCGAAGGTAGATGCCAACGGGCTAGATGCCAACGGGCTATGTGATGCCCTCGAGAGTTTGGCGGGAAATACGCTTATACTCATCGGCACATTGTGGTCTGTGGACAGCATGGGTGTTCCGTTCGCTCCTGAAGACTTGCCGTGGGCTATTCGGGACCACCCTTACACAACGTGGCCGTGGACATCGCCAGGCTTGAGTACTACCTGTTTGACGTGCAGCCGACAGCTGACATCCCAGGTCTAGTTTACAGAATGAGGAAAAGGCCTGCCCGCGGCTGCTTCTAAGGTGTCGTTCTCTGGCGCCGATCTGGGAACTTTTTCAAATATAGTATTTCAGGAATGGGAAAGTCAGGCTGGCGCCTTGCAGAAGATGCCTCAGTGCTCCACCTCGCCCTCTTCCTCCCTTCAGCCTTCCTAGCCCTTCCCCCCATCCCCCTCCACTCGCCAGATCCTCCCCCCTCCCTTCCCCTCTTCCACTTGCCCCCCCCCCTCATCCCGTTTCCTCCTCGTCTGCCCTCCCATCAAGTACTGTCCGCTTTCCATTGTTTCGCCCTGGGGGCGGTGGCAGATTTGGTCAGGATGTCGAGGCAGATCCAGCCGCGGCGACGAGGGCCACCCGGGGAAGTCCATGAGTCAAGGCGGCACATTTCCTCGTGCCTTCGGTTTCCCGTGCCTGCAGTGGGAGGGCTCCTCTCAGGGACGACGTGCCGCAGAGCGATGGCCGCCCCTTGTGGGAGGGGGGTGCGCCTCCTGGGCCGACAGCCTGGCGCCACCAGGGAACTCCACGGCGATCACGAGTGCCACGAGCCCGGCGTTTCGCTTGTCGCCGGGCATGCCTCTTTTGACGTTGGGATGCGCGTGCGGCGACAGGGACGTGTGCGTCCTTGGTCCTGGACATCTTCGGCATGCTCAATACATTCTGGTGACGTTGTGCCCATCCTTGTAATGTGCTTGTGTCGTTGACCAGGCGCCTGTCAGAGGTCTGTTGGGGTCACTTATGGGCTGCGCTTGGTGGCGCGTCGGGGGCCTCTTGGATGCCCTCCTGGGGATCCTCTTGGAGGCCTTTTGTGGGCGCTCTTGGGGGCCTCTTGAGGCGCCTCCTAGTGGGGCTGGATGCGGTCTAGGGCTGCATTTCGGGGTTGAGGGCTCCAAATGTCAATTCGCGTTCCCCCGCTTAGGCCCCCTTTGGGGCCCCTCTGAGGGGCAATTTTTGGCTGGGACTTCCTAATTCGGGACCTCGCGGTCCGTGTTGTGGCGATTTTGGGAACCTCTTGGGTCGTCTCGAACGCTAGCGGCGAATATGCCAAACCCAAGCAATAGAACCCACGGCTTTCCAGTGATCTGGGATCCCCTGGAGCGCCAAGGAGCGCCCGGCCAATGCAGGGCCTGGGGCCCATACGCAGCACCGAGCTCGAGCGGGGGAACTCGAAGGGGGCCGACAAAGCCACGGCACGGGACTCCTGATGGGCCCGAGGACACTCAGCCCACGGCCTCGCGGCGCCCCGCTCCGCTCCAGGAGCCGCTCGTGGAGAAGCGGCCCGAGGTCGTGCTGAAGGACAGCGGCCGCTGGCGCGGGCAAGGCCTGTCACTACCAGCCTCGAACGTGTCCCTATCCCGAAGATTGACACGCCAGAAGGCGATGACAGTCTCAGGGATTCGCCCTCAACAAAATAAGGGAATCCCCAAGATTGGCATCGTGATGAGGAGGTGCCCAGCATAGGGATAGGGATATGTTCCAGGCTGGTAATGTCAGGAGGTGGGGGGGGCGAGGGAGGAGAGGAGAGGGCGGAGGCGGAGGAGGGGTGGGGGAGGTGGCGAAGAGGAGATCCAGGGGTTCTGGTTGGGCCGATGATGTGACCGGATTGTGGGCAGGAGGCGGAGGTGGAGAAGGAGGAGCAGGAGGGGGAGAGCAGGGAGGAAGCCGGAGGATTGGTTTTTGACATTCCGAGATGCGCCCCCCATGTCCGAAGCGTGAGCTCCTTCCGCCTCCTCGCTCCCTTCTCTCTCCCCTCCAGGCCCAGTCGCGCCCACGCTCTAACCACTCATTCTCATGTTCCTGTGTTTCCTCCCTGCGTTCAGACCATTGCTACCCAAACCCACACGCATACTCACTCATATGAGAATTACTCCTTCTAAAAATCAATCGTGCTCAAACTCCCTCCCAACCTCACTCACACATAGACTCCCCCCCCCACCCAGGGTTTGAGCTGGGGGAGTGAATCCAGCGCGACCCTACCTAGAGTGGTTTCCCAACATATGACGGTGCAACATGTACACCTCGTTGTAAGATAGGAGTTCTCCCGAACGGCGGCCGTTCCGGAGTTTCGAACATGCGCCCAGAGGCACAATAGCTTCCAAGACTACCCAGCAGGGACCTGAGATAACCTATCGCATCCGGGAGACGCTCCCACAATCGGGGCCCGAGAAAGCCGCATTATGGCATCCATAAGACGTTCCCAAGGGGGTTTCTTAATCCGTCTTTCGGCCCTCTTGGGCGTCTTTGACCCCTCCCGGGGGCCTCCCGGGCAGTTCTGGCGCGCGATTGGGGGCTCTGGGCAAGTCTTGGAGCAAATGCTTCAAACACCAAGGAAGCAGGACTTGGGCGTCTTAGGGCCCTCTTGGGGCACATGGGGCTCCTGTTCAGCTTCCTGGGGGCTTTGCTTGCCAAAGCTCTCTTTGGCGTCTGCGAGCGATCTTGGGGCGACTT